ATCTATCTTATGATAAGGTCAAGTAGAAAAATGTTAAATAAAATGTCGTTCATTGTTTCACGAAATAGGTTTATACACATGAAAAAAACCGGGGAAATTTGTTTTTTTTTTTTTATTTTTTAACAAAACGCGACTCTAAAGTAGAATGTAAACTTAAAAAAAGAATGTTTTTTAATACTTGGTGTCAGTAAAAACAAATTTATATCTTAAAATTTAAGTTAATTAGAAATCTGTGAATCACGTTATGCCAATCGAACCCATCGTTTCCTACCTTGCTCCCAATCAAGAATAAAAGTAAATCTGGATAAAGAGATATGCTTGTAAACTAAAAGTGAGCGACAAAGTATCATTTGCCTTTTAAATGCAATAGATGCTGCTAAGTTTATCAGATGATATAGACTAAATTAAAATTATGGAGAGGTAAAAAGAATAAAATAGTGACTACTGGCTCAATGGATAGTTTATACTCTCAAAAATATCCAATGTAAACGGGGAATAATTTTTGAATGGCCACCGCTTGAAGATATAACATCGATAGTTGAAACTTTAAAGGTGTTTCTTACGAAATCCCTGACATTAAACCTAAAGAAGAAATTTACAAAAACGGCTTGATTAAATTGATTGTGTATACTTGAACATATTTAATATACAATGACCTATGATCATTTTGATTAGTTGAAAACCGTTGATTTTGCATTAAAAAAATTTACAATTTTTACACAACAAATCATGTCGGCAGTTGGAGAATTGTTCTTTGGCGCCTTTGAAGACAGCACATCATTTCAATATTTTTGTAAAATCTTAAAACAAAACTGAAAATTTGAGATATATTATATGTATGTCCATAACACTTTAAAACATTCTATCGAGTACAGTCTTAAAAAAAAATCTGAAAATTACCTTAATTTTCAAGGATTACACTGGTATAGCGTTTGAAATGGTCGTGCATTTGAAACTATGTTTCGCATGCCCAGATGATCTTAAGATTTCTAAAGAGAAATGAGCTATTGGTAATCCTTCAAACAACTGAACAAAAATTAAAAATATACTTTTTTTTGGAGGGTAAGCAGGTTTTAACCTTATCTAAACATATAACCGAAGACGAAGATTTTATTCCTAGCTATTTTTAAAACCACTTCTATCCCAGCTGTATAGATCGTACCGTTCAAACTTCTTGCCGGACATACCCAAATACTGTGAACTTGTACTTTCCAGAAATGCTCAACTAACGAATCGATGTCATTTCAATTTGTTAATATGAAAAATAAACTTAGCAAAATGATTTTGTTTTATTTCGATGCAAAGCTATCGTTGGCCTTAATTTTGAAAAGGCTGTTCGCCATGACATTCCCATCACACCTCGATGTTAACGATTAACATTTGCTGTTAATGATTTAACATTAACGACAGCATTTCCTTTGGGGTAAAAACGAAATAAAAGTAATTTTGATAACTGTTTCAACGATAACATTTTCAAATGTTTTAATGTTTCCATTGATATTTTCAAATCGAAAAAAATAAAAAAATCCATTCCTATGTTCTTAATTTAAGTAAAATTCATTACTTGCTTGCTTTTCTTTGGAGTTTGATGCTGTTCGGCGGGCGTTTTAACCCATTAGAAGAGTCGGACTATGTTTGTAGAAATTTTAAACATAATCCTAAATAAAATATCAAAAACTTAAGATTTTGACTTTATGACTTTGAGGTGTTGTTTTTGCATCTTTGATCCTTGTTAACTGCCTAAGTAACCAGTAACCAAAATTATTAATCGCCTCATCGTTCTTTCCTATGTTGGCACGTGCGTAGCAAAACTTCTAAGATTTATAGAATGGCGCATGCATGTCTGGCAGCAGTGGGCTCTTACTCTTGAAGCACTCTTTATTATAAGAATATTATTTATTTGACAAAATGATGATAATTTTGAGAAAAAAATGTAATAATTAGACATTTCTAGATTCTATATAAACGAGATGGTATCATTAAGCAGCTGGAAACAATTTCAGCATCGAAAGTACAAAACGAAAAAACTTTTGTAGAATACAATTTTTTTTAAAAAGTATTGACTGTCGGGAAGGACAAGTTCTTCGTACGTACAAGTATGTAAAACTTTTTCTATATGGTGAAAAAATTTTGTTTTCAGCATCTCTTTAATCTTTTCTCAAGTTCAAGTTGTATTTAACTAAATGAATTATTACCAATTGCTGTACTAATCCAATTAATTTCAAATATATACCGTTAAACGCGGTAATGACTATTTTATGCCTTTCTCATAGAAATCCTTGTACCTGTTAGCAAAAAAATCTAGGAATACCGATTTTCACTGGCTTCTCTTGAGACGAATTTTTTAACTGTCAAATCATTCCAGTCAATCATCGGGTGTTAGGTCAGGTCTATAAGGAGGATGCATAAGAGACCCCAAACCAAACTCTGGCGTTGTTCAGATGAAAAACAATTTCCCTAATGCTGACTAAAGCTGTGCGCTTCTGGGCGAATGCTTCCTTCGGACGGGTGTTAACATTGCAGATCCGAATTAAGAGTTTTGGCCAATGGAGAAGCTACTCATAGTGGATGGCTCCTTGCCTATCTTACCCAGCATACAACAAAACAACCTTCCTCGTCTCTAATCCTTGTTTGTGCCTACTCACTGCTCATCAACCACGATCGGTTCATTACCAGTTTGGTTCATTACCAGTCACCATTCGCTTCAGAAATGTTTTGATTTAGTTACGATTCAGCAGGTTTCTAACGTTAGATCCTGGGGCAGCCTTATACCAAATTTCTTTGTGTATCCAGTGTTTTTCAAGTAATTTCAAACTGTGTTTGTGCAAGTTTAGCTCCTAGGTCAACTAGAAAGTGCTCACATAATGGTCTGATACGAAGTTTTCGGAAATTCACCTTGCACAAAAAAATTGCTGAAACAAAATCGTCGAAGCCAAATTAGCAAAATTATGCATGATTGACTATTAAAAATCAGCATCATAAACATTATACACATTTTCAGCTGACTGTCTTACAATTTTTGCCTTTAACGTTGAACATTTTCCAATTGCTGGTAAAATGGTATCTTCGACGTTAGCTTAAGCACTACAGAGTTAAGTGATCTACACTTTCCTATTTTCCTTTTTAGTGCAATACGCCAACTTTTTAAGGCTATCCAGGATAATCCGATCGCACTTATAAAACGCCAGAAACTGCCCATATTACTTGACCAAATATTTTGCTTCAATGGAATGAAAGAATAAGGCCTAGAGCTACTCACGACACAAAAAATATTTAAGGTAGCTTCACTTCGAATCTTTTGACGATGAACGTGTTTGCTCAGAATTATTTGATCTTGCCTATGAACAAGCCCGATTGAGAACAGTCATAAACCCCACTACATTCCTCGCCGAATTATTTTCTAAGGCTAAACTTCTCCATCAGTTGATCAAAGTGAACAGACCTAAGTCTTTATGCCTTCTAAGCATAGCAACCGGCGTCCAGTTATTGATACTATGTTGTGGTAGATGAATGGACTACTTCTCAAACGATTTTTTTTGCAACTGCAGGGACGTAGATGACGAGAAACCGGTGTAACATTAACTCAGCCACTGCCCATTTGTAGGAATCATTCATCTTCCACTTCCAACAAGTGGTGTGATCATCTGGAACGGTGAGAGGAATCTTCTTCACAGAACCAAGATAGGCATCACAACTGGTCAGTCGGGCTAAAAGCTAATTAACTTACTAAATAACGAACGAACTCAATTTTCAAAACCCAATATATTTCGAGTTTAGATTAAATTTAAAAGTGTTGGGAACTTTAAGTAACTTAGACCACTTATATTGTAATTATGAAAATTTTACGATTAATTTGAACGGCCCTCATATGGAACCTATTATCAAAACAATATCCTGTCAGCTTACATTTCTTTAAATATATGTAAAAACTGATCGACTGGCTTGCATTCAAACGTAGATACAGCACATTCAGTCAGCTCCTCATCGGCTTGAATTCGATTAAATTTTGGTAGGACTCGGTGAAGTGCACGATCAGAGCTTGGAAAGTATACAAAATACGTGTTTTTTTGGCGTTTAAATATTTAAAAAATATTAAAATTTTTCACCAAAGCATTATTTAAAGTTGGAAGACTTTTTGTTTTAAGAGAAGAGGGAAGTACGTTAAACGTCCGATAGCTATAGTGCCGCTTGCGAAGAGAGAGTAAAACAGCTCTTTATGAATACCTTCGGTCAAATTATATATTTTCTGCTCTATTATGTTTAGGGGCTATCTTAAGTGTATTCACAGATCGGCGGCTCACATCCATCTCTATTATTGTATTACGCTAATTTTCGAAGTATCAAAAATCAGATTTACTAATGTCGAACTCGTACAATTCGCATTGAGTTGTAAGCAATTCTTAAATTAAAATTAATAATAAATAAAATTAAATTAAATGTTGTGATGAGTTCAAACCAAGTTTAGTATTTGTTTCTTGTTGGATTTGTAGTTTTGATGGAGATCATAACTTTTTCTAAAGAGTAAAGAGGCTCCCAAATATAATATAACTTGAACCAAGTATCAAGTATACGGAAACCGTGTTGATTAGGGCTTAAATCCACTCCTTTGTGAAAATATCATGAATATGGATATAGAATCAATATTTTTCCTTTTGCGGCATTTTTTTTGAAATAAATAAATAACTAAATAACATTTAGTCAATTTCAGATTAATTAAATTGATTAATTGCTATTTTTGAAAATCTAATTTGCGTCAAAAGAAAAAAATGTTAAAATGATTTGTCAACATAACCTTAAACTTGTTTCTATGCTTAGTATTTACAGCATGAAAGTGTTGATCTTTTAGACTATAGTTTATTAGTTAAACACCAATAAATTAGAATTTTCCCCTTTCCTGGTCATAAAATAATTTAAGACACCATTAGAATCATATTTTAAAAACTAAAGTTTCAGGTTTAAAAAATATGACCTCTTTTTACGGTCACTTTGAAGCGAATTACCTTTAACAAGCAAACTGATCAGCAGCAGAACGATAGTCATTTTTTCATATTTACTGAGCGGGAGCGTTGAGAAGTTTGAAAACAGTTTCATTGTAAATGTTTAGGTTTCACTTCAAAATTTTAACTTTTCCACTGAACATTACAGTTAAATCTGTGCACACTTTAATCTTTATGAACTTTCTGTTTAATTAATTATTAATTGGAATTGCATTGGAATTTTATTTTTGAGCTTCCTTTGCACTAACTGTTTTCAATATTGCACTTGTATCCGATTTGCTTTCGAAAATTCTATTAACAACACGCTGTAAATAATTTTTAAATTTCGCAAACATTTTCAGGATTTCTTTTCGTTTAGATTTTGCAAGTATTTTTCATGAGAGAGAATATTTATTGGCCATGAAAATTTATTCTGCCGTTTTGTATTTTTTAACTATCACTAAAAAAATGAATTTTTTAGAACATATAATTACTGTTATTATTTAGATTCTCACAAAATTTCACTATGCTCTAACACTCGCTTCCGTTTTGGCCTCATTCACGCGTCCAATTTACAGCAGCGACATAAAGAAACTGAAGTCACGGCATCCTAATCCAACTCGCATTGGCCCAGCAGCAAAGACTGGACCAATTCGAATGCTGCACGATGAGTTGATTATCATTTCGGCTTGCAGCTCGGCTCATACGCACTGTCGTACGAGAGCAAAAACGTTGAGTTTGGAGCGCGCCTAACGAACGACCACAAACGAACAATGTAATATTCGAATTTCGAAAAATGTGGAAACTAATCTGGGCAGTCGTGTTTGGCGCTCGAATACTATCCACCACGTGTTGGGTGGCAAACAGCTTGTTTAGCACATGGTGGATTATATTTTTTCTGCTAATTTGCAATAGGGCAGCAAAAATGTAATTTTAAATGCCAACAGTAGTGCAGCACATGCGCAATGCCCGCGTGAAGGAGGAGTATACGTGGCTGTTTTGACAAATGGTATGACAACTGATACAAGCTGTGGTGGCATTTGGTGGCTTATGTTTGAATTGAGTCAGTGATGGGTTTGGTTGGGTGTGGGAGCAGTGGAGCTCACTAACTTCTGAGGCAGCGTGTGGGTACATACATACATATATATATACACTTTGTGGTTGTGGTTGTAATGCTGGCGATGCGGCTGTAGTGTGGGTGGCAACATTGCAATACCTTTCATACGTGTGGGAATATGTACATACATATATGCTTAAGTATGTATGGCTGGATGCAAGTCGGATTGCGGTTAAGAGTGTGTAGATTTGTGTGCAACATATATTCTAGCTGTTGACGGGTTTGCTCATATCAAATGCACGATGATGGTTTTAGTGGTTGAAAAATGGCTATGAAAGTAGGTCCCAACGCGGATGCTTTGGATAATACTGAAGCGATAACAAAACGAACAAAGAATATACCAAACATTTGAATACACAAGAAAGAGTGCAACTAAACATTTTGCTTTTGCAAAATACCGTTTTGGCAGTAGTGCGTACAAACGTACAAAGGTATATGTCTGCAAAACTAAAGTCAATTCTAATGCTACTCGCCATGCACCAGCAGCAAAGACTGTACTGAATTTCATCGGGATCTTGTCTTTATCGATTTTTATCGTTCAAATTTTTGTGATCAAATTTAGACTAGATGTAAAAAGTAATCCATTGGCATTGGCATTATATTGAAGGCTTTATTAACGATAGTCAGAATTATCCGATTTATGTTAAATTTTACTCCCTTTTGCTCGAGACCTTCTTGCCATTGCGAAGGTAATGTCATTTTTCCTCTTTCATTGAAAACCTTTTTCCTATTGGCAAATGGTTGGCACAATCAATATCACCTTGAGACCATTTCTCCATCAGTCAACTCGCTCGCCATCGCCAGAATCAGACGTAATACCTTCGCATGAGGTTTGGCCTATAAGGTAGATGCTTAAGAGATACCCAAACCATGCTTGCGGAACTTCTACCGCGTCATTATTGATGTGCGTTATCCTGATGAAACACAATTTCCCTACTGTTGATCAAAAGCTGGGCGCTTCTGGGTGATTGAACCGCGGGCGAACACTTCGTAGTGAAAGATTATAGGGCAATCCCACCAAAAACACTACAAAACCTTCCTGGCCGTCAATTCTGGCTTGGAGACCGTTCTTGCCTTTTTTGTTTAACGTTTCTGCAGATGATCCACTATTCATCACCACTCATCATCCACTTCTGAAATGGATCGATTATGTTACGATTCTGCAGCGATTCGTGGATTAAAGTGCGATCCCTGAGCTGTTGTCCTCGTTAGCTCCAAGGCGAATTTATAGAAGTTATTATCGTATGATTACTTAATCTTCCTTCCATTATCCCATATCACTCAAACAAAATGCATGAGGCTTTTCGTTTTTGTATTCTTCCTTTGGTTAACTCATGTGATACTCAAACATCGAGCTTCTTTGTGTATGCAGCCTTTTTCGAAGGCTTCCAAATTGCCTTTTGTACAATGTTTAGCTTCAGGGCAATCCAAGCAGAGCTCGCACAGATGGTCAGACCCGATAGTTTCCATTACCAGAGGGATAATCTACGAAACCAATATTTTACATGGCTGACTGTTTCAGTATCAGGATCATAAGAATTATTCACGTTTTCATAAATTAATTTGCGAGCTCAATAAGCTCAAAGGCTTCCCATAGAATTTTGATTCATCACACCCAAAACAGCTTACAGCTGAAGAATACTAACATAAAAATCTACACTCCTATTTTCATCGGTCTGTCGATCTATCGGTTTGTTATCTTCTTCCCAGAAGTATAGTAAAGTATAGTATGTACTAATTTAGATGAAAACCTATCCATGACTCAACTTCAGCAAATCGAACCTGTCATAGTCCGCTTCCAGCAGTTAAAAGTACTCTATTTGTTTGTCGAGACAAAAAGAAATATACCTTCATATAAAAATCTAACAATATCGAGCTAAAAAATATTATTCCCAATCATGTCGGTATCTGGTCCTAGAAAACCCGAGCTTCAACTAAATCAAAACATAGGCCTGAATATTTTGAATAGATCGGTTCCATGTCCTCTTCTTTGAAGACAAATAATATTCTTTTAATCTAAGCAGAAGGCAACTGAACCATAAACACCAGTACAAAAATGTTAGAATTTCATCAAAATCGGTTAAACGGCCTAAAAGGAGTTCAGAGACAAGCAAACGCACAAAAATTTTTAATATATTTTTATATATGACCAGGTGCATATTTACTTTACTTGGACACATATTTTAATGAGTTTCATTTTCTGACATGTGGTAATTCTTTAAGAAATGGAGCCCAATAAGCTATCCTCAGAGTTATCTACAGGCTCCTTAGATAAATTCCCGCATAATAAAGATCGAAGTCAGTACTCGAGCATGAAATGTTTTGAGCAACGGACGTCGCTGCTATTACGCCCATGGTTTGAGTAAGCGACATGGTAACTTGTTTGGCAAATAACACTAGGAGATGGGGGTGTGTGCCCTCTATGTCCAAAACGCTAAAAGTAGAGACTCCATAATACTGACACTCCACATGATAATCAATAAAGAAAACAATCAAACAAGCTGGTATAACAGGCTGGTATGTCTACTAGCATCGGTGAGCATAGGGCGTTTACTTCCTGTGTCACAAGTGTCCCACCTCTCTTGTAAAGGAATAAGCTAACAAGTTCCTAGTGGTAAAGCCAAATCTACGCAGCATCATAAACCACCGTAAAAGAGGGCAAATGACGCAGAAACATGCAACCCGCAAGTGAAACTTGCAATATCCAAACGGACGGATAAAAATGACCGAGAGGTTGGGCGCCAGAATCTTTTACGCTGGGCTAGATCCCTAAACTGGCGAAATAATACAGTAATTTTCAGGTAAAGGTCTCCGCTGTATGGAAAGCCAATAAAATAGTTGGCAACGTAGAAAATCACACAAGAAGCCTCAATTTATGTGACGACAACCAAGAAGCTTTCTTAGAAGGAGGAAGACAGTAGATGCGTATAAGCAGCGTGAGTGGATTTCTGGCTACAAGGGTATTGCGGCAAACGAAATAGTTAATGAAATTTTCAAGAGTACCCTATGTCTGGCTACCGAATCGGCACAAGAAATCTGAAACTCGCTAAAACTACTACATAATGAAATTACAGAAAGAGCTGAAAGTCAAATCAAGGTAAGACGGCATACTTTAAACGGCTTGCAAGAACGTCCAGATGGTCATGCAGCCTCGAAAAACTGCATAATGGCTGTTGGCCTAATGACAGGTCACCACCCACTGTTATCAGATGCGATCTGAATGGACATTGGTAACAATAACACTACAGGCAATGCAGTTGGACAGGTATAAGTGTGCCTGTCCGGTTTTATTTAGAACTCGTCTTATCTAGAAGCTTCGTTGTTCAAAGACTTAGTCAAAGTATCAAAATTGAATACCAAAGCTCACATAGACCTCACATTGAGGTCGTTGACTACCTACACGGCGACTACCAACTGCAACCACAAAGGTAGAATTATGTAAAGCAAAACAGTCAGCCAGTATTACCTAGCCTAACCTATATATGTATGTGAGGTAGGTATATTTTTTAGATTTGGGAGAGTCACTTTAAATTGAACCTTGATACAAGCAGTATTATTACCTATTTGAGTTGCATTCTGGTAATTAGTGCTTTAGATATTAAATCTTGACTCAGGCGGCAGACCAGCATTCGACCAGAGTTCATACTAGATCATAGGAATATAAGTATCAGACATTTATCCTCTATCCAGTGGTTTCCGGGGTAAATTTTCCAAGGTAAACTTTTACACATAAAACTGGGTGGTGTCACGCCCACCTCTCATATCTTACTGCGATTTTAGTCCCTTTCAAAATTACGGTATATAGAAGGTGAGCGTGAACTAGATCCGACGGAGGGACAGCCAAACATGGTTGAATCGGGCGGAAGATTGCATCACATGTCTCCCATATAACCAACTTCCTCTGATATAAGGTTTAAATTTCAAATCGTATAAAGGCGTGGGCATGGCCGCAGATAACAAAACTTTCTTATCTATATTGTTGTGAGAATTATATAATTACATTAAATAAGATGTGTCACAATATCAGGTGACAAATTCAAGTAATTCATGAACACACACACCCCACTGGCAGTGTTAAACCAATTAAGAGTTCTCAATATGTGATACGAAGACACAATATGACGAGAGAAGCTATCATCAAGAATGAAGAAATGAACGTTAAATAAAAGTTCGACAAAACAGAAGATGCAATTAGCATATGACGACTGGCAAATTCAATACACACTCGCGGTTACGCAGGTTCATATATTGGTGTGGCAAAGACATACATACATTAATTGCCTTAATGTCGCAACGATGTTTGCAGTAACCCAACAAATGATTTAATGCACAATTTTCAAATTAATTACCAGCAGTTCAATTAAACGAATCCATTTAAGGATTCATTCAAATACTTACCGATGATATGTATTTATGAATGTTATCAAAGCGAACGCACAAACTCATCGTAATTGTTAATA